ATTAAAGTTAAGATTAATATTTTTTTACTTTTTTTTTCAAAAATTATCTAATAAAATCTAAAAAAAAATTATTTAAATAAAAAAAATACATAAAAAAGCTACATAAAAATACATAATTCCCTAAAAATGGAATTATTCAGTCTTTAAAAACAAAATAATATTTTTAATTTTTTCTATATTTTTTTCTATATGATTTATTTTTCTATATTATGATTTTATAAATAATTTTTTTATATTTTTTTAAAATTAAATGTTTTCTTAAACTATAAATATTTTAATTTAAAATTCTTGTTTTTTTTGTAAAATTTTTTTTTTAAATTTATAAAACAACAATTATATGATAAGTTATTTAAATTACTAGATACTATTTCATTTTGTTTTTGATATTATTTAAAGAAGATTTAATTAAGTTTCAAGTAATAATAATAATTAATGAATAAATTATAATTATAACTTGCTATATCTTAAAATGTATATTAATTTTTCTTAATTCTTAAATCATTTCTCTATTTTTATATTACAGTATCCAGAATTGAATGCAATGATCATGCGTCGATTTCAAGAACCAGGAGATGTTGAAAAAGCATTTGAATTAGTGCACAAATCGCAAGGACTCGAACATACAAGATTTTTAGCGCGAAAACATTGTATTGAAGCTATGAAACTTGCACAATCTTTAGCTGAAAGTCCCTATCAAAAAGGTTTGCAAGTAGTTTGCGATTTAGTATTGAATCGTACGAAGTAGCGATATAAAAATCGTGATAGAAATGTAAATGTGTATGGAAGTAAAAAATCACATTGAGAAAAAAACTAGTAGTCATAAAAAATTATAATATGTTGACCTTGAAATAGTCAATTAATCCAACTACAATAAATGAAGAATAATATGTAATTAATGCAATAGATTATATCGGTTGTAAGGAAAAAGAAAACATCAAATGAACACAAAAATGATTACGATATTCATGTAAACGCACCTTCGACGAATGTGTTCAACTGATTATTGTTGATGATACTTATAATTCTATATTTAAACTTATATATGTTTGTAACATAAAAGTTTAAAATGTTTATATTTGCAGTATTGTTAATAATGTGGTAATTTTAAGAAAAAACAAAAAATCAAGAAAAATTAGGGAAATATTATTTTTATAAATTTCATATAACAAAAGCATATTATCAATTTTCTGCAAGAGAATATCCAAGCGATTTCTAATAAAATCTAAAAAAACCAGTTTATCTAATATAATATAATTATAGTAAAAACTCATCTATTAAGTGCCCAGATATATCTTAAATAAGAAAAATACAATATATAAGAGAATGTAAAGAAAATCATGATAATTACATTGTTCTCTAGTGCACATATGACCTGATTTTATCAATATTGTCACTAGCCAATCATAAGTGTAAATAAAATGATTCATAGGAATAGATATCATATATTGGAATTGATAACTCTGTTTGATTTTTTCGTAACTAACATCTGCAATAAAATTCGGGGAATAATAAGTAATATGAAAAACTTTTCAAAATATTATTATACTAAATTCATTTAATTCATATTATTATTATTATTATCATCATCATCATTATCATCATCATCATCATTATTATTATTATTATTATTATTGTTCTTGTTATTGTTATAGTTCTTCTTCTTCTTCTTCTTATTATTATTATTATTATCATTATTATATTAATGAAATAATCTATAAAAAATTATACAAAATTATCGTATATAAATATAGTTTATATTTATATAAATTTATTTTTATTTCAACATAATCAAATATATCTTTTATATATAAATATAATTAATTATAATCAATATATGTTATCTTTATGTAGTAAAGAAATTTTAAATATGTAAATATTACTTATATTTTTAACAATCAGCAGAGTATCAATACCAATTAACAGTATATACAACATAATTTAATATCACGTTTAAGACGTGCGAAGAATATCTGCCAAAGAAGACCATAACATGGTCTTGATTTTTCCATTTGTTAAACAAAAATTCGATTCATTGAATATTAAGAACTTTTTATTATCAATTAATATATTATAAATTATAAATTTTTTGAAAAATTTTAAATATTATAAATTATTAAAATTATTAAAATTTTTAGATTTTTATATTGACGCAAAATTAATATAGTTTTTTATTCATAAGGACTTAATAAAAATAGAATATCATCTTCATGATCTATTACATTCTTTTTCAATAAAAAAACTGCTCAATATGTTATTTACCATAATATAACTAAATATATAGACATAATTTATATAATAATTATTATATTTATAACATGAATTAATGTATATAATTGCTCTTTGATATAAATTACTGCTGTAAAATTATTAATAAACAAATACAAAATGTAATTATGATCAAACAAAATATACTAATTATGAAAAACAAATATATATTAAGATAAAGATATTTCATTGGTAATAGGATTAAATAAAACTTTTATTATTTATAATTCATTTAATTTTTGCAAATTACCTTTAATATTATCATAAATTCGAAACAAATCATCTTTCAAAATAATAAATTTTGCTGATATTTAGATATTTAGATATCACATTGTAAACATAATGTACAAATGCATATAATATAGAAAAAAATGAAATATTCTTCTACATATAATGTATATGTAAATATATGATCTTTTAATTATTTATAATAAAAAAATGTTACCAAATTATAATATTATAATATTATTAAAAAAAAGTTGATTGAAAATTATTAGATTTATTTTTAATAAATTACACTGTTTATTGTTTTATTCGTTATGTTGAGAAGCACTAAATCCATGTTATATAATTTTTTTAATATAAATATTATATTAAAACTTAAAAGAAATTTTATTCTCTTTAAAATAATTACATCCTTATTATATATATATAATATATATATATATATTATTTAATTTAAGAATATTTGACAGAATGTCTATATAGCACTTCTTTAAAATATCTATTTTCGATGATTTTAGCAATAATTTAAACAATATTCAATTAAAAAGAAATGTATTTTAATAATAACAAAAATATTGCATGAACGAACTATAATCAAATTTATATTTTATTTTTAATCATTCAATAAATTCTTCTACATCTTATTATTATAACTTTTAATGAAACATAGAAACTACTACTATTAATGTCAATAAATATTAAAAGATTAAAAGATTAAAAATATCATATATTTATTATTCGAATATAAATATAAAAAAAAATATTTTGAATTATTTAAATTAATTTTAAAATTATATTTGAAATTGAAATTTATGTTTATATATATATAGCAACAATGAAAAAGAATTATAAATCAACGATTTTTTTCTATTTTAATTATTACAATATATTTATTTTATAGTATGTTTTTAAATAAAAAAAATATTTAATTTTGTGATACAATATGTATAAAATATTACTAAAATGTATTTAAAATTTATTTAATATAAGAAATTTTATACTTACTATTTTTCTTTTTTTTTTTTAAAGAAATAATCAAAAATAATACTTTTCTATAAAACATTTCTTGAATACAACATAATAGTTATTAAAATTATTGAAANATATATTATAATAAAATAATATTGTAATATATATATATATGATATTGCTTTCTTGACAAAAAAGCGCATGCTGTACATAGATATAATAATTGTTAATAAACTAATAAAAAATATATGATAAATTGATATGACTATATTAATAATAAATTAATATTGGGAATTATTATTGTATTTTTATAAAATTTCAAAAGATAATTAATTTAAATATAATTGAAAAAAATAAAAATATAAATCATGTAATCGTAATTAAAATCATAAGAAATATATAATTATTAATTTAATTTATAAATTAAATTAATAATTACAATGTTTCTATTACATAACAACTGTAAAAGTTTTATAAATGATTTTATTAAATATTAATAAATCATTTTTTTTGAATTGGTAGAAATTAATAATAGTATAGACATTTTGTCTCATATTTTTGTGGTTTCAAGATTCCATTATTTTCATGTATTTTCATTTTCATTCTCAATATTGTTGATTTAATGTAATATAAAACAATATTCGCAGTGATTAAAATGAAATGCTTTTTATTATGAAATTAAAAGTAAAATAACTGCAAATAAAGTAATAAATTTAATATTTATTCTATAATGTATTTATATTTATTTAAATTATATAAAACAATTTATTGGAATAATAATTTTGAGTAAAAACTATTATAAGTTTATAATTTTAATTATAATTTTTTAAAAATAATTTTTTGAAAATTTTTTATAAATATCAATTAAATAAAATAATTTTTTTTCTAATATAAGAATTTGAGATTTTTATATACATTTTAACAAATATTCTATAAAGTAAAAAGTTATTTTTTGTTCATTATATCTAAAACAAAATTTTCGATAATAAAGAAAAAAAAATATAACAATAAACAAAACTATTTTAAATTCAGATTATAAAAATTATTATTTTTATTATTAATCAAGGCATTAAAATATTTTCTCGATGAAACTTTTTCAATTTTTATCTAATTGCACTGAAAAATATATTATGTGTTATATTATTCTTTACACATATATTATTATTTACATTTTCGCTACGTATCGAATCACATATAATACAATATCACCAATTCACAATAATACAAATAAACCAATTCACAATTTCTAAAATAATATAATTCTGTTTATTAGTAAATTCTGAATCGGTCTTAGCAATATATTTAATCATTTAAATATTCGATAAAATATCGTTTTATTTTATAATTTTATAATTTTTAACGAGTCATATTTTTTCGAGTTATATTTGGATTCATTTTTCTAATTTTATTTTTTATGATCGCGTATACTATCAGAGTCAACATGCTTCATGAATTTATTACTTGTTGCCAAAATTAAAATAAAAACAAGAAATTTCCTGGAGATTATTCGAAAATCGAATTGGAAATATTCTTCTTCCATTTCATTAAATTTAATCACCTAGAATTTTTTTATCATTTTTATTGAAATATTTTTTTTTTTTTTAACCAATCTGTATATCTCGTTCAACATGTAACTAATAAGTTTTAGTTAAATCAGAAAAAGATTAAAAAATTCATAATTTCGAGAACTAGAACAAATAACATCGCACTTTCTAATTTTTACATTCAAACTTGTAATTTAAACATTTACATATTTTTTTTACATTCATATTTACATATTTATACATTCATTATCATTCATTGAACAATTCTTATAATAATCTTATAGAAATTATTATGTAATTTGCAGTGAGAGTATTTAGGCAGAATCTTATAAATCTTAACGCAATAATTAGTTTACCGCGTCGCGACGCAGATTTGTAATTTGATTAAAAATTATCAAAGTTAATACTTATTATTATTAAGATTGTTAACTTCAATCCGTTCCTAAAGGTATATAATAATAAAAATAATTATTACAAAGTTGACTTAATAAGTTCTTAATCGAACTTAATAAGTTCGATTAACAAGAAGATCAAAAACAAAGTTCATATGTTAATGACTATTAAGGTTTATTAAGGTTCTGTTATTATTATTAAGGTTCGAAGTTGATTTTAGTATTTTGGAAGTTCTGGTAGTTAAAAGTTCTCAAAGTTCTGGCCATTCAAAAAGTTCTCCTAAAGATTGGTACTCTCTAAAGTCTTCTCCATATTCATCTCGCGAACATATACGTCTTCAATCGGATACACAAGCAACCAATAACATTGCGAACCAACCCTTTGATTGAATAATACTC